GGACACCCACCGGATTCATCGTTGAGAGAAATGTCAGCTTCAATGCCCACGTGGAGGCAGTGGATGCGGCCAGAGAACAGGAGCCTTAGATCTAAGAAATCCTGTTTACATCCGTAACACATGTGGCCATCACATGTGACATTCACCATGAGATATGCTTTCCCCCGTATTTTGGGCTAGTTTTATGGTTTTGGGCCATTGTTTGGGGGGTTCTAAAGGTTATGGGTCCTGTCTTGGGGGTTCTGGCGATGAGGGCTATAATGTTTCAAAAGAAGGTGCTTTGACAGGAGAGTGAAAGGCTTCTCAGGGTTTGGTTTGTATCGTTTTTTTCTTTTGGGCTTTGGGCGTGGGATTTTGGCTTGAAGGTTCAAGGCTGAGAGGGTGCGAGGAAACCAGTGGATCGCGAAGCAGCGTTGTGCACGGCAGTGGTTTGCTATCTCACTGGGCAATTTAAAGCCACCTCACCCGACCTCACCCTAAATAGTGGTTTATCTAGGGAATAGTACCAAAACGGCCTTAAAATTGAGATTGAAATTTCGAAGTTACCCTGCTGATCTCAGGAGTCCGATTCCTTGATGCATTCTCATGCGAGAACGGAGGCTTGAAATTGTTGCGCGGTTTAGGGTTTAGGGTTCCAGTTCACCTAAAGTTCAAGGTGTTGTCCAGATGAATCCTGAGCTTTCAACCCTGAAGCCGTCGTTGGATTCTTACTAGGGATCGGGGAGTACGCGTCAATTTAAGGTATATTCCTTAATTAAGGGGGTTTGGGGTTATATAAGGTCTGGATTAGGGTTTGGGTTTTTGTAGGGTTTAGGGCTTAGGGTTCTTTAGGCTGTGGGGTTTAGTGTTTGAGGATTCGGATGTAGAATTTCAGGGGGCTAATCTCTCCTGACTTGAAAATATCCTCAAACTTAATTGTCTTCCAAAAAGTAGCAAAGAAAAAACAAAAGGTAATAGGCTTAGTAATAGGCATCTGCAAACATAGACTCTTTCGCGTGCCAAAGGTGTACTAAAAGTTTCCCCCAACTTACTTGGGGTAGACGTTTGGGTCGTCTGGTTCTTCGAGAGTGCTGGAGCAAGTAGTGCAGGCAACCAGGGCCTCAATTACCCAAACCAGTGAGTTTGGGCTTAAGATATGTGGCATCTAGCTTAAGACGCCATCTGCTGAAGCATGCCAGATCCCGAGAAAACTGACAACTCCCCAGCCTCAGTTCACCGTGGTCGGGCGAGCGCGTCCAGAAGACATGGTGCCGGCCGAGCATCTCATCAGTGCTACCCCAGAAATTCAGGACTGTCCAGCGTGCTTGCACATAGCAATTTGACCACACGTGTGCGAGCAAGAGGCAGTCCGACCTGATCTTCTTTTGTTTGTCAGTGACTGAGTAGGAAACAGTCATAGAGCAGGGCTCCTTTTCTGAGCAGCTTTTGCGCCACCATCACCTGCCCCGCCACCAGCAATTCAACAAAGCTGCCGCCAGTGCAAGCGCCACCCCTTAGCTAAAATTGCTGGCGACACTTTGATTCGGAACACTACCAGATCTGGCTTTTCTTTCGCAGTAGTGACCATTTCGGAGACCAGCGTGTAATTGGTAATCCGTCACAGTACCACAACCCAGGGTGCTTGCATTGGGCAGGGGAATAACATCTCTAGAGCTACACATGACAGCATCAGGCACTGAGCCCTAAACCCTCAAGCTCATGATGAAAAGAACTGTATAGGGCCATAAACAACCAAAAGCAACAGAAAGATCGGGTCAACAGTCGCTCCCCTGTACAATTCCATCAAAGCCTAGACCCTAGCAGAATCACGCGTCTCTTGAACACCTCCTACTTCCAGGATGTAGCAGCAGCATCTGATGCTCTGCCTGCAACTCAGGCTCGAGGTATCTCAGTACAATGGTGAATAGGGTTTAGGGTTTCATGAGCTTAGGAAGGGGATCCAATATGTTGCCTACAGCAAGCTGCACGACAAACGTGTCAATTTCCCCAATGCTGGCTTGCAACAGTTTTGGTACGAGGCCTGAGATCGAGCGGGCGCATAATGACGTTCAGTTTTCTAGTGGTGATGGGGCCGCTCTTGTAGCAAAGCATGTGGTGTAGAACTTGAGTCTTGGGAAACGCTCACTCACATTGCAAAGAAATGCGCAGCTCGTACGGCATGCAAGTTCGATTTTGTACTGCCGACACAATTGCATATCCAGATCAGTTTGTGTCTAAGCTGACTTGGCCCCCTCAAACGCTGTCAAAAACAGGCCCGCTCCTAAACCTGGATGCGGGGAAGGGCATAGCCTGTATAGCAATCCAAATGGTCGTTTCCCAAACTAGTGGGACCCCAAGATAGACCCCGAAATACTACAATCCCTATTTTAGGGGTACCCCTAGAATCCCTGATGTTGAGAAATCCCCATATCCCTAAATCCTAAACCCTAAATTATGGTAGTTTCCATTTTCTTTTCCATTATGCATCCCTATATTGCCCCATACTGCTCACTTCACATTAAAAACTACCTCCACGTTCACGAAAACCCACCGCCGGAACCCAACTGTAACCACCCCACATTTATGAAATCCCCGAACAAAAATGCTATGTTTTCGTGACAACGACTTTAACTATACTTTGATCAACTCAAAATAGGCTTTCAGCTACAGCTTTGGCATTATTATTCCGGGGCTCCCGCAGATAGGACATAGATCAATCAAACAGGGGGGGGGGGGTTATCAATGCGAAGTGGACACTATCCCAAATTTTGGGAAACTCTAAACTGTAATCCCTAAACGCCATTGCATACCCGTATAACCACTCTAAGGGTACTAGCAATTTTGCGAAATCCCCAAATGTCGGGTCTCAGTGGGCCTTGTCAATGGTACAGCAGTCTCATGGAAAGCCGCCTGACTGCAGCTCACATGAGCTATAGAGAGTCTGAACTCACTAGAAAGTGTTATATAGGCGAGTATCATAGGGGTTACTAAGGGGGATACTAGGAGTGTAGACTATAGCTCACATGGACCCAGTATTCTGTGCGAGCAACCCATGCTGACTGTGGCTGCCCGGTCACGCGCCTTCATGGAGGTGCTGCGGGAAGAGCATGCGATGACGAGCGGTCGATGTCTCAGCCCGCGAACAGTGAGTGCATTGCAGGCTAGTTACCTGTGAAAGCCCGCAGTTGAATTTCGAGCAGGCATCCCCAACCGGTCTGAGTATCTTGATGGTGGCCGCTTGGATTACTATCGTTGTGATGCGCATTGTGAAGCTTGCGTGGAGCCCATTATAATCTGCATATCAGTATAGAACAATTCATTCCTGACTATTCCAGGTACCAACCCGGGTGCCTTCCTCACGCCTGAGCGCCGCGTGAGTCAACCACTTGAGACGACGCCGAACCCGCTCTCGGCACCGAGCCCTTTCGCTGCACTGGTCCTCTTGCTGACCTCTCAGAGGCACAGCAAGTTCTTGGCAACAATCTTTGCAGGCAGAACAACCACCTTCGCAAGGGGCGCAGCAGATAATTCCGAAGCGCTGACGCAACCAGGCCTGCCTGCAACTTGGTGCTATGTTTGCTGTGGTGTCAGCTGTGTCCAGGTCGGCCTTGTACCACAACTACACATGATCATGCCCAATTGACACAAGCTTGGTCAAGCTGTGCTCTTGGGGCGGGAAAGTTTTCATGCCGGTGCCGCGCAAAGATCCCACCATCGACTCTCAGCATTCCTGCGATTGTGAGGCAGTACCATGATACCTGCACATAGTGTTCGGTAGGCTGTGCCAACCACCAGGGCCCAAACCATGCTGTGGGACGGTTTCATGGACAAAGCGTTCTGAGCAGGTTGCTTCTTTGCTGAATCTCGGTAGCGTCACTTCTGTTGGTTCCCTGCAGGCTTCGAGGAAAAGGCGCGCGACGCGGGGCCGCGTCGCGGGCCTAAGGCTCTGGACGCCAAATGGCGTCCAGAGTCGAAGGCCCGTGATGCCAATCGACCGGTGGTTGCGATCTCAGCGCTTGTTGGAAGGGCGGTTTGCTGCTTCGTCCATTTCATTTGTGACAGTGCCGGGGTTGGGTTCAATGTACGGATGATAAAGTAATGATGTTATATCTCCTGTGCAGATGGAGTCTGAATTTAATCTGCCTTTCTTCGAGTAGCGAATGACCCATCATCGTGAAAGACTGACTTGCAGCCGTGTGAGGGCGAAGGACCCAAAACTTTATCATCAATTTGAGGCTTCCAAAGCCTAGGGCGCCTTTTTTTGGAATCCCTACAGTAAGGATCACAGCACGTTGGGGTCCAAGTTGGGGCCCGCATGTTTGCTGAAATCCCCAACTAGGCCCCTACAGTCCCTGCACCTGAACCTGATTGTGAGGGATTGGATGTATCCCCCCCTCATAACAGTCCCCCAATATTGCATTGGTATTGCTACTATTTTACCATACGTAAGTATGGTGTACTGCTACATATGAGTGCTGTATGGTCGGGATCCTGGCGAGTGATTTCTTTGGCTGAGCCGGCACGTTAGCTAATCTGATTCAATCTGAGTCTCTTTACTTGGATGGAGGCAAAAGCCTTTGCCTCTGCAACATCATACAACAATTAGATCCACGCACCTGCTTCTTGAAGCAACACTTGTGAATAGCGAGGAAGCCTGAGTAAATCAGAATATCAGGCTCCCAAATTCCTCGTATGATGATAGTGTAGGATACCTCCAAAAGTGATATTGGTACCGGCTCGTACATGACACGTCGGGTAAGGTTCTGTATCCCCACGGGTCCACGTAGCTACTAAGTACTAATCATATACTTATGCATGAGAAATACTATTACCCAACGCCCGGTACATAATCATTGGCTACTTGGACCGCCTGAGAATAGCCAGAATCACGGCAGCTGTGTGCTGCGAGTAAAGAGGGCTTCAACTTCCCTATTCTAGTAAGGGGATTTGGTAAACCCAACCCCCAAAATTAGGACCCCATAACCATCATATGATAGTCATAGGGTCCGGTTACCAAAATCCCTTTATTATATTCTTGAACATGGAGGCTTCAAGTAATAAAGCATCTTTTTGGGGGGGCTCTTACAATGGGGATTATAGTATATGGGGGCCTATTACAGATGTTTTTTGGAAATTATCCTTTGATGTGGACACGTTATGATGACCTCACGTGACCTTCGCCCAATTGGTGACGTGTATGGGCAATTAAACCGCTCCCCCCCCCCCAAACCCTGATCCTTAAGCAAGTGACATCGGACAGTGCAGTGTTGCTTTACAATTCTTTGCGGTCATTGGCATCGCCTCAATATTCACCAACAGCTAGCAGAACTCTGACAAATCATTACGCATGCCGGGTCTGTGTAGTTGTGGTATACGACAAGTTGCAGAGCCCTCCTATATGGCCATTGGTTAAATCATCTTTATGTACTCCCGAATGAGTACTTCCCACAATCTCCTTATCATCCTTATATGCTAGTTTCCCTAAATAAGGGGACCCCAATATAGACCCCCAAATATGATGATCCCTACTATGGGGACCCCTAAAATGGTACCCCCATTTTTGGGAAACCCCTATATCCCTGGGGTCCCCGATTCTGAGAAACCCCTATATCATCCTTAAAAAGCCGAACCCAGGTCTGGGAGCTGGTGCACTGATACAATTTTCCGAAAGAAAAAAGTCCGAGTTGATTTTCTGTGTAGAAAACTGAGCAGTTACTAAGCTCATGGTCCTGAATCCCTTGTATAATCTTTGTGTATGGGATCTCAAGTTGACGTCAAAATGATCTAGGAAATTGTTTGATTCTCTCGCACCGACGGAGTGGATTTTTATGTTCGGCCCACAAACATGCGCAGCATCATTAGCAAACATCCCTATTCCTGCTCATAAGTCGTCTGGGCTGCTGGTCCTGATAAACTAGCTAGAAGGCATTCCTGGGCTTTACCCTATAATTATCTAGCCCAGTAGCCTACCATCTAGGTAACTGGGAGGTCTAGGGTTACATAGGTCCTCCATGACAAGGCCTTCTGGCAGCAGATAGCGCATGGGAATACAGCTGAAAGGCCATGTTGAAAGCTTGGCCGTGTGGTGTTTCCCCACTGGCTCAAGTTCGCTGCGTTATGCGAGCACTGAAGACTCGTAATGTATAATGTTCATATCCTGACCGCTATTACCAGGAGTTGTAGTGTGGTGAGAATGTGTTGTTTGGATTCAACAGCTACGCTGTTGGATGTAGTGCTGGCGAGATTGTGCAGATTTTGGAGTTTACTCTTCAGGTTAGATTCCGAGCTAGCCTTGAGGGGTTATAGTCAAATTCTGCCATTAGAGCGAAGTTTTGCACGATTTCGGAGACTTACAGCTCTCATCACGCTTCTCTTCATCCTGCCGTTGATCCTAAGCCGCAAGTCCCAACCCTAAACCCTGAACCTTCAACACAAAACCCTAAACCCTGAAACCCTAAGCCCTGCTTCAGCCCTTCAACCCCAAACCAACCCATGGCATTCCGTAAATCTCGTAGCTGCCAGTGGCTAACCCTCTTCGCGATGGAGGTCTGGAGCTTAGAGTACTAGGATTCTTTAGGAGTTATATTATAGGGTTTAGGGTTTAGGGTTTAGGCTTGGTAGGAAGTGGAAAAGAGAATGGAAACTGCCACGTTATTTCGGGTTCGGCTATGGCTAGCATGAAATGAAGGAATGCCTGCGCGGGATTAGGATAAGAATCCATTGCCTACTAACGGCGAGTAAGGAATTTGACAATGTATTCTAATATACTATGATATACCATAATATCCCATTATATACTATAGTATACTACAAGATACTATTACATACTGTTGACTTTGTAGGGTTTGTGTAGGGAATGTAGGTTTAGGTTTTAAGGTTTAGGTGGAAATTGGGGACCTCGTTCTTGGCACCCAAGCCTACAGGTACAGGAACACTTCGGTCCCTAACAGAAACCAAGCCGTCAGGACCCCCCACCTCCCGATCCGGAGAATGCCAAAGCTTTGGTGATGATCATGCCCTCGGGAGGTTAGGATTAGGAGTTCTTGCGAACTTTCTGCCTAAGCAGATGCGCCCTGTCTAGTAGCATCTGGGTTGTAGGCAGCGTGCTAGCATGCTAGCATGAATTCTCAATAAAGCTCACAAAATTCAGGCGGCCGCTTCGCTGGTGCAGTGACGTCCGTCGGCTGCAAGCATGGTGGGATCCTATGTTACCTCCCCCTTGCTCTCCCCTACCAAAATAGCCCCGCAGCAAAAGCCAGATTGGGATCTTATTGGGATTTATTTGGGGAAAGGAAGGCGGCTGTAGCATGGAAGTCATACATGGAGGGCAGATTTCGGAGTGGCGCGGGCTCAGAGATGTTCGGAGCTCGGAATGGATCCCAGCTGTTTTTCAGTTCCAGGGATTTGGTCATATACAAAGTCCTGCGTTACCCCTTGAGCGTTATACATTTCAGACGCAGGGGGGGGAGTTTCAGGCGCAAATTTCAGGTCAAAATTTCAGGACAGAGGCTGGGCGGTTTCACGCCCCATCACCATGAGGCATAATCTAAACTCCTTAAAGGGGGACATAGGGTATTATACTAGGGACTACTACAGGGGTTATTAAGGGGGATACTAGGAGTTTAGACTATAGCTCATATGTACGCAGTGGGTTCATCATCCTCTTCGGTGGCCATGCATACAATGAGCTTGGAGGAGAAAGTCATGAAATTCGGGAACATCGTACGAAAATCTGGGTTGCTGTTAAGGAACTTAAATTAAGTTACCATAATGGGTATATATAGTAAATAATAGCGTTCCCCCAATATAGTAACTTAATTTAAGTTCCTTAACAGCAACCCAGGAATCCAATGCAGTGCTTATGATTCCGCCTGACATCCCATCAACATGCCCAATTCCGGCTAGGAACTTTCTTAAGTTGTCATCAGGTCATGACCTAATCCCAGGCAGTGACTGTTCGGGATGGCACTGGCATTTCATAGTACGCCTACCCGCTGAACTCCCCGCAGTATACCCGCAAACATGTTTTTCCTGGGAACCTGGTAGCCTCAATCCCACATCCCCAGTCCCAATTTCTAATTCCAAAAGGGGGTAGGCCCACCGACTGGCCACATGTAGAACCAGCGTTGTGCGCGTGTGGTACCTAGCTGCAACGGCATGGCTAGGATAAGCATGATCTTCGCTGCCGGCAGTTGCACGTCCTAACTTCAATGCTGCGACCTGAGCGGTGTAGCTGGACAGTGCGAACCAGCTGTGAATCCAGTCTGTTCACATGAACGGTTCTCAAGTTTGGACCGTTTGGCGCAGTCTTGATGTGTCAAGATGGGGCAAGAGCATCGATCGTAGATAAGAGTTCTTTTTGTTTTGGCGGTTGAGAGCCTAACGCTATACATCAGCAGCTCTAAAATTCGTCGGATTGCATAGGACAGGCAGCCACAGTGTTCCTGGTGACACGGTTTCAAATTCCCACGACAAAACCCGAGACACAAAATCATATACTAAACCTTCTTCAGTCGAGCCAATGTGATTCCAAATGACCCCTAGAAGCCCTTGAGCCCCACCCCTTCCTCATGGTTTTCTAGGTTTTCAGACGGGGCTGACGTAGACGTCTTCATGCTGGAAGCTGGAGCGTGAACGTGCGCACCTCATTGAAATCAGTTGCTCGAGCATTTTTCGGAGCAAGTCAGACATTCAATACGCTATAGGATTGTCCTTCCCAGGAGTTTCTGTGAGGAGTTGTTTCTGGCCAGAATCAGGAAGTAACAAGTTTCGCGCGAGGGTAATCTGCAGACTAGCCCAGGTGCGAGCACACCGTCGATCTTTGCCAGGAGCAGCCAGGCCAGACAGCTCAGCAACCAACGATTTTTGTAGGAATATAATCGGAATATACCTACCAGGGTCCTCGCATTCTATTATATTCCTACTATATTCTTGGGGGTCCCAGTACAACCTTTTTTTTTCAACTGTCAACTATCCGCAAGGCAGTCATTCGGCAATCTTGAAGTTGATGGGGAGCACTGATTTTTCAGGTGACGCTGATTGAGTCTTGAGGCTCAACCCACCCTCTGCGTGACACCTCTCTTCCCTGCATCCTTTCATGTGCTACGATGCCAACTCCCAGAAGTAGCTGTTCCTCAAAGGTTCGAACTTTCATCCCATGCTCCGTGGCAATGAGCTCCCACGGTTGCTGAACCTAAGCCCTTCTGAGGACATGTTGCTTCTCAACCCTTGATACCCCCGGGCGGGGCGTAGTATTAGTAAGTCTACCCATCATTCCCAGTAAGCAACACTTGACATTCCCCATGGTAGGGCGTATTCCAATAGATGTTGCTCTGACTGTAGTTTCTTTCGAAGGCAACATCGTCCAGCAAGCCCGGGCGTCCACTGCCATTCTTGAAGGTGCCAAAGTTTTGCATGCATGCATACTTGTAATGACGGGAACATGGGGATCCTCAAGACAGGTGGGCAATTACACCATCTCTCCTCTCAGAGGCTCTGCTCCTGCGGTGTAGCTCGGTGGAATACTGGAGAAGTCCTGGTCAAAGCTCAGAGCCCGGAGGAGTTACCCCTAGTGGGGAATAGACTACTTGGGGTTCAATATATTGGGCCCCGAATTTTTTGGACGAGTCTTTGATTCAACGTTCAAGTCAAAGGTACATATTAATCATTATCAAGTTTTGCGGTTGGGAATTGCACCTTGACTGCTTACGGCTTAGATCCGACTTTGGTTCGACCTCCCGGCTGTACCACACCATCCCAGCGAAAGACCTACTGGCTCTTAGTAGGAAATACGGGAAGATAACCCTTGTATAATTCCCATACAATACATTCCCTTATTCCCTTCTAAGAACCAGTAAGAGGATTTTCCCAGATCCCAGAAAACGAGTGTATGACCGGGCTAGCCGCCCCAGATGCATGAGTTGCCCCACTCCTCAGTTTAGGGTGTAGGGTTTAGGGTGGACAATCAGCCCAAAAAAACAACGCAACACGCTAAGAGCTGTTGTTTTTGTCAAGTTCTGAGAGCGGCGGGCATTGCTTGTCCTGGCGAGGGTGAGAAGCATTTGATCGATGATGTGACAGCCAGGAGCTAAGGATTTAGATGCGATGGCCAGGTTTGTAGGGTTTGGGTTTTGGGGTTTAGGGTTCAGGGTTTTGGGTTCAGGGTGATGTGCTTATGTGGTGTGAATAGTTTCTTCGGCCAATGTTTCTTCAACATCTATGGTGTTTGCGGTCTACAGTTATTCCGCATGGTATCCTCCAACTGCAGTGACAGGAGCATTAGCAGCCGTAGCCGTAGATCCCTTACACCTTAATGTTGGACCCTGTTTAATGATAGGCCCCCCCCCTGAACAATTACCATTC